GCTACTCAGGCTCTTTTGTGTTTCCATGTGAAGTTTAGAATTATTTTTTCTAATTCTATGAAAAATGACATTGGTATTTTGATAGGAATTGCATTGAATCTGTAGATTGCTTTGGGAAGTATGGTCATTTTAATAATATTGATTCTTCCAATCCATGAGCATGGGAAGTTTTCCCATTTATTTGTGACATCAATAATTTCTTTCATCAATGATTTGTAGTTCTTCTTGTAGAGATCTTTCACCTTCTTGGTTCAATTTATTCCTAGGCATTTTATTTTATTTTATTGCAGCTATTGTAAATGAGATTGAATTCTTGATTTAGTTCTCAGTTTGGTCATTGTTGGTGTGCAGAAATGCTATTGATTTTTGTACATTGATTTTATAATCTGAAACTTTGATGAATTCATTTACCAAATCCAGGAGTCTTTTGGAGGAGTCCTTATACCTTTTCTAGGTATGAGATCATATCATCAACAGAGATAATTTGACTTCTTCTTTTCCAATTTGGATGTCCTTCTTTCTTTCTCTTGTCTGATTTCTCTGGCTAGGACTTCCAGTACTATGTTAAATAGAAGTGGTGGGCTGGGCGCGGTGGCTCACGCCTGTAATCCTAGCACTCTGGGAGGCCGAGGCGGGCGGATTGTTTGAGCTCAGGAGTTCGAGACCAGCCTGAGCCAGAGCGAGACCCCGTCTCTACTAAAAATAGAAAGAAATTAATTGGACAACTAAAAATATGTAGAAAAAATTAGCCGGGCATGGTAGCGCATGCCTGTAGTCCCAGCTACTCAGGACGCTGAGGCAGAAGGATCGTTTGAGCCCAGGAGTCTGAGATTGCTGTGAGCTAGGCTGACGCCACGGCACTCACTCTAGCCCGGGCAAAAAGAGTGAGACTCTGTCTCAAAAAAAAAAAAAAATAGAAATGGTGAAAGTGAACCTCCTTGTCTTGTTCCAGTTCTCAGAGAGAATGCTTTCAACTTTTTCCTATTCAGTGTGATGTTGGCTGTGGGCTTGTCATACATGGCTTTTATTATTATTAGGTTATGTTCCCTCTATCCTGAGGTTTTTGAGGGTTTTTATCATTAAGGGGTGCTGGATTTTATTGAATGATTTTTCTTCATCTATTGAGATTACCATATGGTTTTTGTTTTTAGTTCTGTTTATGTGGTGAATCACATTTGTTGACTTGCATATGTTGAACCACCCTTGCATCTGTGGGATACAACCCACTTGATATAGTGAATTATCCTTTTGATATGCTCTTGGATTTGGTTTGCTAGTATTTTGTTGAGGAGTTTTGCATCTATATTCATCGGAATATTGGTCTATAGTTCTCTTTTTTTGTTGCATCCTTTCCTGGCTTTGGTATTAGGGTGATACTGGTTTCATAGAATGAGTTAGGGAGGACTCCCTCCTTGATCTTCTGGAAGTTTCAGTAGGATTGGCACCAGTTCTTTTTATGTCTGATATAACTTGGCTGTGAATCCATCTGGTCCTGAGCTTTTTTTGGTTGGGAGATTTTTCATTACTGACTCAATCTCGCCACTTGTTATTGATCTAATCAGGAGTTCTATTTCTCTGTGGTTCAATCTTGGGAGGTTGTATATTTTCAGGAATTCATCCATATCCTCTAGGTTTTCTAGTTTGTGAGCATATAGTTGTTTATAATAGTCTCTGATGATCTTTTGTATTTCTGTGGTATCAGTTGTAATGTCTCCTTTTACATTTCTGATTGTGTTTCTTTGGATCTTCTTTCTTCTTTTCTTGGTTAGTCTACCTAGTGGTTTGTCAATTTTGTTTATATTTTTGAAGAACTAACTTTTCACTTTGTTGATCCTTTTTTTTTTTTCTTGGTCTCTATTTCATTTAGATCTGTTCTGATCTTTGTTATCTCTTTTCTTCTGCTAACTCTGGGTTTGTTTTTTTCTTGTTTTTCTAGTTCCTTGAGGTGAAATGTTAGGTTGTTAATTTGTGATCTTTCTACTTTTCTGAGGTAGGAATTTAATGTTACAAACTTTCCTCTTAGCACTGCTTTTGCTGTATCCCACAGGTGTTGGTATGTTGTGTTTTCATTTTCATTTGTTACAACAAAATTTTTAAATTCTGTCTTTGTTGATCCAGTGATCATTCAGGAACATGTTGTTTAATGTCTACGTGTTTTTTGAGCCAGATATTGAGTTAAAAAAATAAAATAAAAAATAATTTCTATGTGTTTGTATAGTTTCTGAAGTTCCTCTTTGTATTGACTTCTAGCTTTATTCCACTATGATCTGAGAAGACAATTGATGTGATTTTGACTTTTAAAAATTTTGTTGAGATTTGTTTTGTGACCTAACATATGGTCTGTCTTGGAGAATGTCCCATGTGCTGATGAAAAGAATGTATATTCTGTAGTTGCTGAGTGGAATGTTCTGTAAATTTCTGTTAAGTCTGTTTGGTCTAAAATCAGAATTAAGTGCAACATTTCTTTATTGATTTTCTGTTTTCATGATCTGTCTAGTGCTGTGAGTGGGAAGCATTTGAATTCTTGAGGCTTTTGAATGTGTTTTGTATTTCCTTCAATGAATTTTGCAGCTCCAGAATTTCTATTTTTTTAATGATATCTATTTCCTTGGTAAAATTTTCAATCATATCCTGAATTAATTTTCTGATTTCTTTGTATTGGTTTTCAGATTTCTTTCCATGTCATTAAGCTTCTTTAGAATCATTATTTGGACTTCTTTATCTGACATTATGAGGGATTCTTTTTGATTGGGATCCATTGCTGGACAATTGTAGTACTTTGGTGGTGTCATATTTCCTTGCTTTTTCATGTTCCCTGTGTCCTTGTGCTTATATCTGTGCATCTGATGTAGCAAGCACTTGTTCTGATTTTTTTGAAATTGCTTTCAAAGGGGAGAATTTTCCCCTGAAGATGTATATGTGTTGTTGGTTGAATAGGACAATTTGGCTTTGGTTTTGGGTGCCTGCAGTAGTGTGATCTTTCTATGATTTCTTGGGCAGTACAGAGAGTCGGTGGTATCTGTGATCTCTTTGGTGGTTTAAGGAACAGTTATTAGCTGTGGCTGTGGTGAAGTTTTGCTGGGGACTTCACCAGCAGCTGATCAGTCTTTGGGCCCCAGTGGTGGAAGCAGTGGGTTGAATATGCCTGGTTTTAGGCCCCAGGGCAGCTTACTTAGGTGACAGTGTTAGTGTTTCCTGGGGGGCCAATTCCTGGGCCTTCAAATGGCTTGTTCGGAAGGTAGCAGTTGGAGCAGAGGGCTGGTGCGTGGGCAGGTTCTCAGGTCCGTGAGCAGCTGGCATGATGTGGGAAGTGGCAGTAGCAGTGGTGGGGCCACCCACTGGGACCCAGGTGGTCAGTGTTGGTGTGACTGGTAGCTGCAACGGATTGGGCAGGCTAGTCCCCAGTCCCACAGCTGCCTGTGACAGGGCAGTGGGCATTGTAATAAATGTGTTTCGGAGGGGTTTTTCTCCCTTGTCTCTTTCCAGCCAGGTGGCAGCTACAGTCATGTCACCTTGAACTCTGCCTGAGGGTGGGGCGTGGCTCAGTGTTAATCTCTCAAAATGGCTCTGTTGTGGGCTTGCAATCAAAGAGGGCAGGGCCCCTTTCAGGCAAGTGGCATGGATGAGAGATTGGGGAGTGCTGCCCGCACACTCTCAGTCTCACATAGCACATAGCACATAGCACATAGCACAGCGGTAGGAATTATCCTAGGTGTGTGTGGGAGATCCTGGGCTCCCCGTCCCTCCTCAGCTGGGTGGGGCTGTGGCTGTGTCAGCCTGAACTCAGCCCAAGAGCGAGGTGCTGCCTGGCCTCAAACTCCCCAAATGGCATCTTGGGTCTGTGACCAGAGAGGGTGGGGCCCTTCTCAGGCAGGCTGCGCTGACAGGAAACTATGGGGAGTGCTGTTCGCTTGAGACTCAGGCCCACAGCAGCTGGCCACAGGATGGTGGGCCCCGCAAATGTGTGCTGGAAAGCCTGGTTTCCCTGCCCCTCCAGCCAGGCAGGGGCTGCAGCCAGGTCAAGCCCAAGCTCAGCCTGAGGGTGGGGCACAGCCCAGTGTCAATCTCTCAAAATGACACCTTGGACCTGTGACCAGAAATGCTGGGGGACAGGTAGGTAGCATGGGCAAGAAACTGTAGAAACACTGTCTGCTCACATTTCAGTCTCGACAGCAGCCCAGAGCAGGGCAGTGGAGACCTTCCCAGCGGGGTGCGGGAGCACCTGGGCTCCTCTACCCCTCCTCAGAGCTGTGCAGTGGCTGCAGGTGCGCCTGCAGTTCTCTGGTATCTAGGTTTTCAGAATGGCACCCCTCAAACTGCCCTAGGCTTGGATGCCTGTGCGCTTCCACATGGGTTCCCTTGCAGCAATGTCTCTGTGCACTCTCCAAGCAGCTCCCTGTTACGCCCCGAGACTTGCGTGGGCCAGGGGCTTCTCTTGTAGCCAAGACTGTGAACGCTCATCTCAGCAAGTCGACACCTAGGGGCGTCTCTCTTACTGCTCCCAGGTGTCCAGGAGCTTCTCATCACTTTTAGCCAGTCCCCGGCTGCGCTGGGCTTTTAGCCAGCACCCCTCCTTATCCACTTCTGGTGCTTCCCATTACTTCCCTACTGAATCCTAACATTCTCTCCTAGATGCTCCTTTCAAAATTGAGAATCTGTTTACTATGCTGGTTCGTTTCCGTGGAGGAGGCACATGCTACCTGTGTCTAGTTGGCCATCGCAATCCTATCTCTGTAGCAGCTTTAATATTAATGGCACCTACTGCTGATGAGCTTCCTAACAATTGCAGGTTAGCATGATGTGGAGATTCTGAAATCCTCTGGTATATCTATTTTAAGTTTGTAATTGGGTTATTTGAATAGATCCTGCTATTTAAATTTTGTTTGCAAGTTTATAAGCGCATCAAAATAGTTTTTATATAGTTATGTACGTCTATTCATAGATACAGTAAATGGTATAGTTTTTTTTTTTCTTCCTTAGGACTATTTATGGGAAAGTACCTTCAGATTCACATTCCTGAATTTCATGTTTTCTTTCCAAGGCATAACATAACGTCTTGGGATCATCCCCTGCTTTAATGAAAACCGTGGCAAATGAATCTCATCACACCTGAAGATTAGGAAAGAAGAAAAGTTATCTTGTAAGTTAAATACAATTGTTTTAGCATCATTCCACGGAATGGAGATGTATATTCATGTTCTGACCACTGCAGCTTCAGGTCAGAGAGATGTGCCATTGAGACTCAACTAACAGATAATCGACCCCTTAAATCCCTACATATCACCAAAGTCGAAAGTCACGGCTGGGTTTCTGCACCTCCAACTGCTCACTGTCCTTTACGATTTGCCCACAAAGTCCATTTTAACCTGATTTTAAGGGAGAAGGCAGAGCACAGTGATTTGTCTTAGGCCTACCCATTGCCTAAAGGAAATCTCTGGACAATCACAAAAAACCCAGTACCTACATTGGCTTCTTAGTTTACACATGCCCTACACTTAGGTCAGAGTTACTTTCCCTGCACACGTTTTCCTCTGGAACATAAAGCTTTCTATACAGATGCCAAAGGGAAACACAAAGTTATTGTTCTCATCTATGTAGCTCCCAGATTACAAAACAAACAAGCGAACAAAAAACCCCGGAACCCTTAAGTCCTCACTTATTAGCAGGCTTATAGGAATTCTCACGAGAGCAGTTGTTGGTGAGTTTAGGTAAGGTAGGACAAGTGTCTTTTCCTGAAGCCATCACTGCCAGCAGTGGATGGAATTCTCATCTAGAACTTGACTAACTCACTAGTCTGATTATGACACTGCTGCTCTGATGTAACAATGTTTTGCTAACTTAAGGGCAACCCTTAGCAGTTACATTAGCAGCTGATTAAGAGTGTCGAGCTCAGAAATATTTTCAGTGCTTTTTAAAATCTCTCTTCTTGAGCTGGGCATGGTTGGTCATGCCTGTAATTCTAGCACTCTGGGAGGCCAAAGTGGGTGGATCGCTTGAGGTCAGCAGTTAAAGACGAGCAAGAGCAAGAACCCGTCTCTACTAAAAACAGAAAAATTAGCTGGGTGTCCTGACACATGCCTGTAGTCCCAACTACTCAGGAGGCTGAGGCAGGAGGATCACCTGAGCCCAGGAGTTTGAGGTTGCAGTGAGCTATGACACCACTACACTCTATCTGGGGCGACAGAGCAAGACTCTGTCTCAAAAAAAAAAAATAAGTGTAGAGACAACCTACAGAATGGTTTCGAGAA